CCCTCTTTAATACCCATCACCAGGCTAACCCATCCTCCCACCCCCCTCCCCTCTAGAACCCTCAGTTTGTTTTTCAGAGTCCATCGTTTTTCATGGTTCGTCTCCCCCTCCGATTTCCCCCCCTTCATTCTTCCCCTCCTGCTATCTTCTTTTTTTTTCTTAACATATATTGCATTATTTGTTTCAGAAGTACAGATCTGAGATTCAACAGTATTGCACAATTTACCGCGCTCACCAGAGCATATACCCTCCCCAGTGTCTATCACCCAGTCACCCCATCCCTCCCACCCTACCCCCCACTCCAGCAACCCTCAGTTTGTTTCCTGAGATTAAGAATTCCTCATATCAGTGAGGTCATATGATACATGTCTTTCTCTGTTTGACTTATTTCGCTCAGCGTAATACCCTCCAGTTCCATCCACATCGTTGCAAATGGCAAGATCTCATTCCTTTTGATGGCTGCATAATATTCCATTGTATATATATATATATATATACCACATCTTCTTTATCCATTCATCTGTCGATGGACATCTTGGCTCTTTCCACAGTTTGGCTATTGTGGACATTGCTGCTATAAACATTGGGGTGCACGTACCCCTTCGGATCCCTACGTTTGTATCTTTGGGGTAAATACCCAGTAGTGCAATTGCTGGATCGTATGGTAGCTCTATTTTCAACTTTTTGAGGAACCTCCATACTGTTTTCCAGAGTGGCTGCACTAGCTTGCATTCCCACCAACAGTGTAGGAGGGTTCCCCTTGGGAGGAGAGCATATTCTGACGTGCCTGCCAGGCCTGGGTCCCCCGTCTAAGCCCCGACCCCACCCCCAGGACAGAAGCAGCATGGACCACACCTGACTCGTGGTCCAAGAGCCGGGAGCCGATGGCTTCCCAAAAGATCAGCAGAGTGTTGCCTCCAGAAGAAAGGGAATGAGTGTCACAGGCTGCCTCCACAGAACTCCTCAGCAGATGGCTAAGAGCTTTCCCAAGTGGGAGAGGCGTTGTGAGCAGAAGGGATGGCACATGAAGGCTTTAAAGGCAAGAACAAGTTTAATTTGGGGTCAAGCTACCTGCAGAGGCGTTTAGATGCCGGTCTGGGGCAGAAGTTCCTGATGAATGTGCAACTATCTTGGGCTTGAACGCAGTCCTGTGCGCACACCTAGATTTGACACTCCCCCCGCCCAACAAATTACAGAAAAATGAAAGCACCACAGTAATTAGTCCACTCTATCAGAAGCAACAGGGGCTGCAGGAAGCCGACAGATAAGATAAGCATTGCGCCGGGCGGATGACCAGCTCTGCGACTGCCGCAACACTCCTTCATCTCACCCATGGAATGTGTGCCGGAGTGACATCACAGACAACCCACAGGGACCCGCGGACCCTTGTCCTTAGAGAGGTAACCAAGAATGCTTCGCACCAGGGCGCCTGGGTGGCTCAGTCGGTTAAGCGGCTGCCTTCAGCTCAGGTCATGATCCCGGGGTCCTGGGATCGAGCCCCGCATCGGGCTCCCTGCTCCGCGGAAGCCTGCTTCTCCCTCTCCCACTCCCCCTGCTTGTGTTCCCTCTCGCTGTGTCTCTGTCAAATAAATAAATAAAAATAATAATAAAAAGAATGGTTCGCACTCCCAGCTCACATCCTGCAGGAAGTCCAGGGCCCTCTGGCACATACCTGCCCATCGCAGGAGGCTAGTTCAGGCTCTGGACGAGAGCCTCCCCCTGACTCCCCATTCCTTCGTTCCCCCGGATTTCCTTAATGCCTATTGTGTGCCAGGCTCTCTGCCAGGCACTGGGGATACAGCAAGAGCAAAACCCACCAAATCCTTGCTTTTATGGAGCTTATGTTCTAGAGGAGGAGGGAGGAAAATAAACAAAGCAGAGAAGGGGGAGAGGGAGAGGTGGGTGTGCAGTTTACGGTTCCCAAGGCGCTGGCCAGGGAAGGGTTCCTTGAGGGGGCCACGTGGGCAGAGACGTGAAGGAGGTGGGGGAGTGACCATGGGAGACAGCAGAGGCAACAGCAAGTGCCCAGTGTGGAGGCTTGTCCGAGGACGAGGAAGAAGAATCAGCGGAGCCGGTGAAGGGTGAGTTGGGTGGGGGGGAGAAGAGAAGATAGGCACACGTGCATCTTAACCTCTTTCAGATGCTCTTGACTTTCCCAGCTCCAAGAGGACAGAGGCGAGCAAGCTGGCACCTCTCGGATGCCTTCTTGCAAGGGCGTCTGTGTGAGCAGTATTCCTAAAGGACCGAGGCAGTGAGGGGCATATCCCTCACAGCAAGGCAGACAACCCCCTCTCAGCAGACCTACAGCATGTCACCACTTGGGAGCATCTCACTGACTTTTCTGGGGCGGTCCAGCCTCCTGCCTTGGTTCCCAGCACGCTCTCCTCCCCAAGACCCTCCTTGGAGTCCTCTCCTATTTCTCCACACAGCTTTCCCCTCATCTCTGCCTCTGCACAGTTTTTTTGTCTTGTTTTGTTTTCAAGTAGGCTCTATGTTGGGCGTCTGGGTGGCTCAGTCGTTTAAGCGGCTGCCTTCGGCTCAGGTCATGATCCTGGGGTCCTGGGATCGAGTCCCGCATAGGGCTCCCTGCTCCGTGGGAAGCCTGCTTCTTCCTCTGCTGCTCCCCCTGCTTGTGCTCTCTCTCTGTCAAATAAATAAACAAAATATTTAAAAAGTAATAAAAATAAAAAAATAAAGTAGGCTCCATTTCCAGTATGGAGCCCAATGCGGGGCTTGAATTCACGACCCTGAGATCATTAAGACCTGAGCTGGGTTCAAGAGTCAGACGCAGCTGACTGCTTCTCTTTCTCCCTCTGCCACTACCCCCTGCTTCTGCTCTCTGGCTCTCTCTGGCTCTCTGTCAAATAAATAAATAAAATCTTTTTTTTTTTTTTTTAAACGTCCCTTGGGTCTAGGCCTCCCCTCCTTGCCAATCTCCTTGCTTATTATCCAGCTTAGTTGTGATCTGTTTCCTTCCTCCCTCCCTCCCTTCTTTCCTTCCTTCCTTTCTTCCTCTTTTTCTTTCCCTTTTCTTCTTTTAAAGTATGTTTTCTGTCATCAGAACTCACAAGCAGTCTCTGGGTGAGGCCCTGCCTCAAAGCTCTGCCATCCTAGATGAGGGAAGGGCAGGCACTTCTGTTTCCCAGAGGGCCAGAATTCACACGGGGATGGCTTCTGCTGCTGGCCTGTGGTAACACGCTGTGACCACGCCAGAGTCACAGTGAGTCACAGCAGGCAAGGTACCTTTGCTCCCCTTCCCTTCCCAGAGCAGGCCCAGGGGTGTGTGAAGTAGATCCGGAAGAGGTGTGTTATTCATGTAAGATCAAAACCCAGGACTGACTGATATATTTTTTTTCTTAATGTCTATTTCTGCCATCCTGCCCCAACCGTCTGTCCCCCTCCATGCCTATTCCAGAAGTCTGAGGACATAGCACAGTGACCATAGCTCTCTGCTCCTTCCAGGATTTGAATGCCAGCTCCCCGCTCAGCAGCTGTGTGTCTCTGGACAAATAACTTAACCTCTTGGAGCTTCACCTGTAAAATGGGGATGTTTGTAAAATACCACCTATGAGGTTGTTAAGAGGATTAAATGAGATGATCCATATAAAGGCAGTTAGCGCTATGCCTGGCAGGTAGTAGCCCCTGAATAAACGTTAGCCGTTCTCATAAAACATTTATGTAGTGCCTCCTACACGAGATGCTTGGCCTTTGAGGAGCTCTAGCGTGGGACACAGACCTGTAAATGAAAGATTACAGCACAATAGGCAGGAACGGTAATGGAAATAATATGGACACAGTGCTGTGGATGCAGAGAGAGAGTGATGGTTGGTCAAAAAAGGGGAGACATTTGAATTTGAGATCCGGAAAGCTATTCCAGAAGCGTATTCCAGAAAGAAGAAACACAGGGTTCATGTAGAAGCCGCTAAGAGGAGACTGTGGTCCCATTTTATGCTGTGAGCTAAACTGGGAATTTTAGCATCTGGAGACTGTTAAAAGTTGTGCACAGGGTAGCAACAGACTTAGAGTTGTAATTTAGAAAGCACACGTGGGCAGATGTGTGCAATGCACTACAGAGCACCAGTGAGCAAGCTGTTCACAGAAAGACAGCTATAGATACTCAATACAGAGATAGAGATCACGATAGGAGGGAGAGTAGAGGATACCCGTGGCCACAACTAGGGTTTAGAAGAATCTGGACAAATGGCCTGAGAGACTCAGTGGAGAGAGCTCCATACTTCTACCTGGCTTAGCACATTCGGCTCCGTCTTGAACGCTCTTCCCCCACTTGCCATTCAACGTTCAGCTCAAGCCACCTCCTCTGGTAGGCCACTTCATACTGAACCCCTTTACAGACTGGATTGGGGGCCCTGCTCTGTGTTCCTAGAGCCCCTTGTTGGGTTGGGTCCCTATCGTAGCGCTTGGCATTCCCTTGTCATTGTTTCCTGGTTCCTCCCACTCGTCTGTGAATTCTGTGAGGTCAGGGCCCAGCCTTGATCACCTTTGCACCCACAGGGCAAATGTGGTGTCAATAACTATTTGCTGAATGAATCAATGCAAACAAAAAACTAGCCAGTCTACAGAGAAGCTGGAGGAACCACCAGAAAAAGACTGACGTCTCCAGGAGCTCAGGCCCTGGGGCCACATCCATCTTTTGTACTCCAGTTGTGTCTCGGAGTCGCTGCCTAGAAATCCTGGGCCTTCCAGGAATTTGAAGCCCGGTGCAGCAAAGGGGCGTCTGGCCAAAAGCGCAGATACAAACCCGGGCCGGCCATCTGCTGGCTGCGCCCCTACCCGGTGCCCCAGACTTCGCCTCTCCATGCCCTGCAGTTCCGATCCCTGCCAGGCAGCGACGCACGTGAGAACGCGTGCGCAGTGCGCGCTCGAGCCGTCCTTTGCCCTTCTCCCAATGGCGGGTTGCGGTCCCCTTCCCGGCATCCTCCCGGGGGCAAGGTGCGCGTCATTTCCGGTGGGGAAGGCCCGCGGCCGCCGCCGCCATTTCGGGCACTGCTGTGAGGCTGAGACCGGAGCCGGTCCGCTGGGCGGCGGGCGCCGGGGCAGGAGGGGCGCGCGCGGCGGCGGCGGCCCAGCGTGTAGGCGCGGAGGCGGCCATGGCGGGCAACTTCGACTCGGAGGAGCGGAGTAGCTGGTACTGGGGGCGGTTGAGCCGGCAGGAGGCGGTGGCGCTGTTGCAGGGCCAGCGGCACGGGGTGTTTCTGGTGCGGGACTCGAGCACCAGCCCCGGGGACTATGTGCTCAGCGTCTCCGAGAACTCGCGCGTCTCCCACTACATCATCAACAGCAGCGGCCCGCGCCCGTCTGTGCCACCGTCGCCCGCCCAGCCTCCGCCCGGTGAGGACGGACGGGACGGGAGGCCCCGGGCGGGGTGAGGGCCGCGGAACTCCCCAGCCTGGCCGGCTGCTCTTCGAGAGCTGACCTCCACGAGGGACGTGGGCAGAGGGCTGGAGTGGCCACGGCAGGGGGTAGCCTGGTGCCTGGGCTCGTTCCCACCACGAGCGGGTGTGTGTGGGGGGGAGGAGGAGCCGCTGACCCAGGCCTCTGGGTGTGACTTGGGAGGACAGCCCAGGGGAAGGGGAACTGCTTCGGCCCCAGGGTGGGGCTAGCGCCCGGACCAGGCACAAGGGCAGGGCCGGGCAACGTGGGGACAAAGAGCTGAGGGGGATATTGGCACTGCGGGGGCATCACTTGGCAGCGGTTCCCAGAATGGATTCGATAATCCTACAAGTGGCTTTTTAGGAGAAACATTTCCTGTAGTGTTAGAGAGCCGGGTTTGGTTTGGAGAGCTATTCTCCCCTGCTGGCCTTTGGTAGGAAGTCACCACATACTAGCCCGGAGGGATGGAGACACCCTCAGGAAACCGGTCAGCTTTTTCCTTTCTTGGGCATTTTTCCAAAATACTTTTACTGTCCTCTTCCCCCGCAGAGGACGAAGGTGGTGAGTTAAGTGCCTTGGTGATAGAAGTAAGCCCTCTGTGATCAGCCCGGAACAAGTTGATGTCCAGCTGACGGTGTCCAAGAGATCTTAACGTCCAGAGACTGTTTTCTACAATTAGGGGGTTCTAGTTTTCAAGGTATTTTGTGGAGGACAGATTTCCCCCCCCCGCCCCGCCCCCGGAAATAAGCCAATGGAAAAAGTCCCTTCCTTTGAAAGTGAATGGAACTTCCAATTTCGTTGGACTTAAGCATTGTCAGTGCTGTATGTCAGGGCCTCTTCTTGGTCAGTAAGTTAGGGCTGTGACCTGGGTCTTTCTTACCAAGGATCACTGAGATGTGACTGTCTTACTTATGCCTTCAGAGTTGTTTGGAGAATGTTACGGAGATTTATGTACTTAGTACCTGAGATTTGTGAAGTACAGAGTAATTCTGAGGTGGTTATCATCTTACCATCATCTGTGTAACAGCACCAAGAGTCTTAGTCTTTCTTATTGTTCCCAAGTTGAAGCAGTTTTCTTCTGACCAGCTGAGGCTAGCTCCAGGCCAGTCTCTTACCCTTTTGGGATAGTCCTAATTTAGATTTATTCACTCTGGCCAGAAGTGGGGAGATGGGATAGTCTCTTTGTTGCTAACACATGCCAATTATAAAAAAAAAGAGTATGGGATCTTTAAGTCCACAAATTATCCTAGGTCTTCTCAGTCTGGTTGGTTTAATACCATAACATGAGAAGAATATCGATGTAACATAACTTTGCCCTAAACCAGATATATTCTGCTTTTTACCACCTTCTTGGTATCTAGGGTTTTGCATTACAATGCAGTAATATGATGGCAAACAGTCACTGAAACTCAATTTTTGACCTCCCCATCCCTCCAATTTTCAGCCTTTTGTGTATGCATTTTGCAAAATTTGGAGATGGCAGCAGTCAGATTTGCTAGCTTGAGCTTTCTCCACACCTTGGTGTTATGACTTTGTATCTCTGCACTTACCTTGATATTGAGCTCCACCTTTTCTTAACAGATATGAGTTCAGATCCTTGGCCCAAAAGAGAAGGTGAAGATTGCCAAAGTTTGTGGATGGGGTGTGGAAAGTTCACGGGCATTGTGGTAATTCTTGTTTCTGGTAATGTGCCCAATTTTCCACCTAGAGCAATTGATTGAGTCGCTGTCTTTATGATAAAGATTACTTAATCTTTGTTCTCCCCCTCCCCCATCAAGCTCTTTTTCTTTTGAAACTACACAGAGAAGTTTCTTGAATTTTAGAAAAGCATGTAGAATATTAATAGCTAACATTTATTGACTGGTTATTCTATGCCAAGTACTTTGCTGAGTACTTTCGGTACCTTATCTGATTTTCTGCCTATAACAATCTGGTGAGAAGAACTATGATCTCTATTTATTAAAATATTTTCTTTTTATAGGTGAGGAAACTGAGAGTCAGAGATTCAGTAACTTGCCCAAGGTCACACAGCTGGTAAATGACTGAGCCAGGTTTTGAACCTCGGAATTCTGACCAGAGGGCTGACACTCTTACGCTGTACTTCTTTCTCTTTCCTTTTGAGATCTGAACAGTGCACATAGAAGATTCAGCACTTTTGTCTCTGCCATGGGGTCCTAGGTTCTGTTTAAAGATCAAAAGGAAAGGATGAAAAGAAGAAACTAGCTTTAGTATTTGGACAATACGTGTCTGTTATTTAAAAGTCAGTGATGAGGCTTTTAAAATTATTTGGCAAATTGAACATGAAAAATGAACTTTTTGCTTAGGACTATATAGCGTATTTTGTGGACATAATAGGTGGGTAGAATTTGTATGGAGTGGCTTAGATACAGTTTTTAGAGGAATAGGGGTAGGATGGATCAGGTATTTTTAACCTTTTCTAGCGAATGTATTTTTTTTTTTTTTTAAAGATTTTATTTATTCAT